GCTCACCGAGTCCCGGGCGCGACAACAAGTTCCCGTCAAGGCAACGTGCGAACTTGCGAAGGAGTGTTCAACGCCCGGTACTATACCGAAGCCCCATCCAACCCTGTGCCACCCGGGGGGTTCCAAGGGGCTGAGATGGCTGACGTTTTGGTGAGCGGAGGCGGATTCCAGAAATCAGCCCGCGGCGCACGTAAACGGAGTTGTTTTGGGGCTGTTTTGCTCGATTCGGTGAGCGGTCGCTTTGTAACGTTGCAACTTGTTCGAACTTACATTTTTACAAGAAAAATGACTCAAAACCAAGGCAAAGCAGGCTGCCAAGTAGCTGTACATGTAGATGAGAGCGACGAACGGTTCATTGAACGGAGTTGTTGCGGGTGCGCGACGACCGTTCGTGACAAAACGCTCTCCCTCCATAAGAGCAAGGGATCAATGACTTTCACGGAAGTCTCGCCTCTGCGGTACCATGGCGCTGCCATGCCCATGGCCCTACTATCCGTCGCCTCGCATCTGCATCCCTTTTCTTCGCGATCAGTAGATATGTCTCTGTGGCACTCCTCCGAATCCACCTCCGTTCTAATTGATGCTTGATTTTAGGTAGCTAAGTCCCTCTAGACTCGTCGTCGCTTCCTCGCCCCTTTCGACCCCCTGCTTCAACACCTCTGTGTTCTCCAAGCAGCTCCCTTTGGTCGATAGAAAGACAGACTGCAACTCCCATGCATGGCCTCTGCCATCACGTTATAGGGCTTGCACTAATTCTGTTCTCCTTAGCTTCCTTGGTAGCAACGTTCGCTTACTCGACCTTGTCCTCTGACTTGCCAGGCTCCCTGGGCTCTGGAGCAGTCCAACTCTCCAGCTGCTTCGATCATACCTCTACATGATCAAGTCCCTCCCATAGGACTCATTGGTACTTGCATTCGAACTTTTCCCTCGGTGGAACACGACCCCCATATGCCGATGACCAAGGTTTTCATCTGATGCAAAATTCGATGCAAGCACGGAAGACCCGCCTCTGTGGTACCATGATCTTCACTCCTTGAATCCATAGCCCTTCTTGCCGTCGTGTTGTTCACTAAAATGGAGCTTCCAGTAGCTCCCGATCATACCTCCGTATGATCTAGGCCCTCACGGGACTATATCGTGTGTATCGCATTGCCACGAACTTTTCCACCACGATCCGCTGCCCATGTCGCCTCCTGGTGGCATCTCCATTGCATTCTGATCCCTCCATGTGTGGCCTCTGCCAATACATCGCAGGATCTCTTTCACCTCCGATTTTGTTCGCTCCTTTGACAATCGACCTTCATCCACCCGCCTTTAGGTCACACCTAGATAAAGCACCGCTCTAGGATAGTCCGTCGCCTAGTAGCTCCTGAAGTCTACCGACTTTGCTGAAAATGGTGTGCCATTGTCTGGATCCTGGGCCTCTGCCCCTACCAACATAATCTCCGCTGTGCACCGGTTCCTTCAAGCAACTTGAATGTCAACACTGTGGCATATTCTTCAAGAGTACCCACCTCCGCGTCCTCTTGCCTCGTGCCAAGGCCTTCTGAACTCAATTTCGCCTCCGCAAGTTGAGTCGCCTTAATTCCTCTATCAAATGCTTCTTCGAGATAAGGTGTGTGTGCCCAGAAGCTCTCATCGTCTTTAGCACCATGCAAGATGAGTCCGCTCCATCAGAATGAAGGACCCATGGAACAACATGATCCTGCTCTTGCCTCTGCAAGAGTTCATGTCCTTGACCTCTGTCCAAGGAAAGCTCTATGCCTCCGCTCCATGTTCCATCTTATATGTTGGCTCACTTCATACGGTTTGGGTACTTCGATAAGTTACACCCAAGTTGCTCCGCTCCTCGTTTTGCATTGAGTTGATGGTGGCCCTCGCGCCCACCATTCCACGGGTCAACCCTCCCTTGAGTCTAATCTCCTATCAACTCCAAGTGTGCCTTCATTTGTGTTGCTTTGGGTCGCTCCCCCACTTGATCTCGCAATGCATCCACTAATGCATTCTCTCAAGCGAGATCATGCGACGACTCCTCGCCGCTCGCTCGGTCCATTGAGCTTTGTGGAGTTGTTGTTTTTGAGGTACTCCTCAACATGTGCAATCTGTTGCACATGATTCTCCCTCTGGAGAGCCAGGACTTATCCCTCTTGGATATCTATCCCGTTGAAGCAACATCTCTCTTCGTTTCGAATACCACCATCCCCTTGGACTACTCCTATTTGTTGAACAACCTGCGTATTGTTCTGCCTCCTGCAAATGCACTTGCTAGATTGCGACTCCACGTCAATACAACCCCCGCTGCACCACTCAAGGTTTAGCAACATGCTGAACTCGCTGCACACTTCAGCCTCCTACGGACGTATCCTTCACATGCCGAAGAGAAAGTTTCAATGCTCCATGGCGCCGAGTTTCGGTCGCCTTGGGATGGCCACGAACATTCCATCGTCCGCATACAAACCCTTGCATGAGTACTGAATTCTTCGAGTTAGCAATTCCCCTCACCTTTGTGAGCTTTGCATAACTCTTTCGGTCGCTGAGGAACTCATTCCACCTTGCATGGTCTCATCCTTTACCAAATGTCTCGTTTGCCTTGAGCACCATCAAGTATAGTTGTCAACGTTGAGTCGTAGCCCAAACTCAGCCATCCCAACCTTTGTGCACTCCGCATTCTTCCAAGCTTGCTTGTTCTCGTGGTGCCTCTTGCGCGAAGGGTTGGCCATTCCTCTGAATGTCAATCTCAGATGCCCGCTCCTCCAAGCGACTCCTTTTCCCTACATCTCCATGCCCGTTTTCCCCCCAAACGGTCGGGCGTGTGCTAATTGCCCTCAACGCAGCCCCGCTAGGTCCCCCACATTTGCATGCCAAGTGTTTCTATGAGTGCTTGTCCCGCTCTGATACCATTTGTCACGGACTTAACTGGTTTTGCCTAAGTCGTGGGACACCCTTGCGTGTCCGTCCGCAAAGATCAACCTCCCCGAAGCCTCTCATGATCCCTTAGGACCTACAAAAAAGAAAACGAATTAGAGAAAGCGCCTCACTCGGGATCCACAAGCAAACATTCCAGGAAACACTTCATAGACAATGTAAATTACAAACAAACTTTACAAGCTCTGAACAGTTGCACAACAAAGGGTCAAAATGGTCCACTACAGATCGAATATCTCCCACAAGTATCCACATGACATAACATTTATTTACAAGTCTAAGAAGGCCACCAAACCCAACTAAAATGGGGATGTTAAGCCTTCAACCGTTCCTCTACATGCTGTGCAAAGCATGAACAAACAGAATGATCCTGTTTAGAACTTTGTCCGTGACAGGACGATACTATTCAAAATTACATACCATGTACCCAGCTATACTCCATTATGACTAAGTCATAATGGAAGAGTATCGATGTTATTTATGTTCTTCTGTCACTAATTTCTATCATATTTTTGCTAACTATTGATATTTCTTTGTTAAAAAAAGACATCATGGTATGAGAAGCATTGAGAAATATTAAGGAGTCAAATGAATAATGCCCACATGGCATTCATGTAACCCATAATGCTTATCCACGCTTGTCACCTCTTTGCTTAGATGATGATGACACTGCCTCTTTCACCCCTCTGCCAAACCCCCCGTCTACACAAAGAATAAGGAAGATAAGCTGCATTGGAGGAATCTCTACTCTGCTGGAGAGCTCTCCCTCTTCTTTTCTCTTTAGCCCTCACCCTCCTGTACTGTTTAATTATTATAAATTAATTATTCGGTCATGCATTAACTTAACTATTAGGGAACCCTACCAAAGCCAACTCTGGCACATATTTGACTTCTCTTTTGCAAGTCATGACATCAGCAGAGTGATCCACTTTGGCACCAATAACCATTAAAAATGTTCCAAGTCGACTCTTACTGCACAGCAGGCACCGTTAATAAACCACAAAACACCTTCTAAAAGAACTATGCTTATAAAACAAAATAATGTTTTTAATCAATCTTAAACACGAACAAGGATAAATCGTTATAAAAATTGGATGAGATGATACAATTTTTATAACGATACAAAAGTTGGATGAGGCAGAGGAGAAAAGGAGGTGGTGGAAGAGAAAGGAAGTACAAGGGAGGAGAGGGAAGGGAAAAAAAGAATAACAAAGTCCATAGTCAAATCTTTATAAAAAATAAAAAAAAAGATTCAGTGTAGGAAACAAACTGTAGGCTAACAGTACAACTCAGTATCAACTAATCTCTTGTAAACCTGATAAATTGCGCTTACTAGATGGTAAATCCAGTTTCAAATTGGACTGCATGAAATCCCATGTTTTATGTATGGATTGACAATTGGGCCAGTATATACCAGCCCATAGGTCCCATACCAACCAATACAACCAAAGTAAAAAAGAAAAACATGTTAGAAGGATGAAAATAGGCTACTTATCAAGAAAATTTTCTTCTTTAAGTGCTGGAAGTTGCACTTCATGTTGGTTTAAGTGCTGGAATTTGAGGCATCAGCTTATGGGATTTCTAAATGTCCTAAATAGTTCAATATGATGGACCTATCCGTTTCCTCTGCATGTAATAACGTAATAAGTGCAGCATAATAATTTAGTATCATTCTCGTAAAACAACAATTGATTAAGTTCTTCCACAACACGGCACAACAGTTGGCTATTAGGTCAGCAAGAAGTCCAAATCACTTGGTCCATTACCTTTCACCAAGTCCATTTAACATAGCACTGGTGTCAAGATTCTTAAGATTACATTAAAACTTAAATAAACAGAGGTTCATATAATAAGATCACAATAGGCAATACTTGAATAGTATAATTAATGACAGGGCAAATGGTAGGTTTACGGAAAGGCCAATCACCACAAACATATGCATGCATCCCCCAGTGACATCATAGCCAATACATAATATAAACCTATGGACCTCTGGACACACAACAGCATGGTTTTGAGAAGCTCCAAATATATATTGATTATTGAATTCCATCAAAAGTGTTAGAACGAGTTACCTGTACATAGGTACGTTTAAGTTGTTCCAACCAATCAATTTTCACAACCACCCTGTCGTCAGAGAACACATGGCTGCTTCTTTTCAAAATTGCTGCAATGGTATAGCCCAGTGCCATTAACCCACCAAGAAGGCGCACACTAACTTCAAAAGTAATTCTTGGTGATATGATGAATGGACTGTCGGTTACCCATTCCTGAACATCCACAAGTGCCCAAAAGTCAAACTAACTGAATTGACCAGAATGGATGGATGTGATAGGTCCAGCAATCATAAATTTTAGATGTACTGTATAGATTCTTTAAAATAAAATAATGTTGAAGCTGAAAAGCATTCATCGTCGAGGACAACATCTAGATGGTATCCCATCAGGCATCACCCCATGGAAATGCACCACACAATTTGATTGAAGGGAAAAAAATTCAGATTACAAGAATCTAAGCAAGAAAGCACTAGGTGACACCATATTATGCAATACACACATATAATGGAACAGATGGAAATATTTTTAGTTCTAGATTGTTATGGATTTAGATGATCTCTAAGTACTACAGGCAAAGCTTCAAAATACCAGGAAGATTGTACTGAGTAATGTAACCAAATTATGCCAATGAAAAAATTGACAAAAAGGTGAACCCATTATATATAGCAAGATGAAAGAAATAAAGTGAACCAAAATGTCTCGTGGAAATATTGAAGATGATCCCCTTCATAAATCAATATGAGAATGGCATGATCCAGAGAAACATAAAACTGAAAACCTGTAGTCTTGAGCATGCGTGCCATGCTAAAGTTGCTAGGAAGCAGGTGTTGTTGCAGAACTTCTAGAACTATCAGCATATTTTTCACAGACTCTTTAAGCAAGGAATGATGTGACTTCTGGTGCAGACAGGAAAACCTTACCAAACCATTTTCCCATGTCAAAAGCAACAAAATGATAAGAGGATCATCACATGATTATGAGACATTAATAAGAATTGCTACCAGAGTGAAATCAACAATGATTAATTGGATACTTATAAGTTCAATCAACTAATAGAAATGTGGCTTAAGTATTTAAAGGTGGAAATGTATGCGGGCTCGAGTTTCACAAACTTGAAGATAGTGTCTAATTGCCTTATGATTAACAAAATTGATTCAAATTAATCAAAGGTCAAACATCGCACAATCAATTATGAGCCGCAACCCCAGAATGTTAATTCCATTGATAAAGGGCCAAAATTATGGAACTCATATGATTTAAATCTAATGTAAATTAGTGATCACAATATTTTAATGAACTTCATTTAGCAGAAATCTGAAAGGATTTAATTGCAGTTGAAAATTCTAAGTCCAAGACCTTTACTGCATCTTAGTATGAGGTTTCAAATAAAAAATGGCGGCCCAGTGCAAAAAGCTCCTGTTAATTCATAATCTACTGTATCAATGTACATAGCGATAATGTTACCATTGCAAACAAAGAGATTCCTATAACATGAACCTTGATCACCTATATCACAAAGGAGCAACTTAACTGTGACCCCAAGACTCACACTCCTGGATGAGGCTTCAAATGCTACAAAGTATTTTGGGACTTCACATTTCAAAACTGGAGAACTTCAAAAAGACAATATGCAATCTCTTTCAGCAAAGGTTTGAGTATGCCAATTGTTGTGTAAACAAATAGTAGAAAGACCACATCTCATTTCATGTAACAAGCTGTCAACTGGAACCTACAAACTACAACTGAGCCCTATAAAATAGGAGGCCAAAGCTTCATGACAAAGCTACTACAGATGCACATGACATGTCAACCAAATTGTGGTCATCAAAAGATTATTGAACCCTTGAGTAGAATCAGTAACAAAAATATGGTCAAAAAAATAAGGAAAGCTTACCCTACAGTTCTAGAAGCTTCAAAATTTTTACAACAAAGATTTCAATTAGCTTAAGTAATTTGGACCTACTTCCATCAATACAGAATTTCGAGCTATGTGATTCAAACTCAACAGAACTTTTTACTGTTATGAAGATCCTAAAATACCAACAAGAGGTTAGATCTAAAAACTAGATATTCAAGGAAAAAAATGACACTGAAGAAAAGGACAAACCTCAAACATAAGATTGTACTTTCCATCCCTGTTTCTCATTCTTAAATAAGATTGGCATGCTTCTGGATCTTCCCCTGGCGGCAATAGATATATGTCATAAGTTTGTTCGCTATATTCTTTGTGTTCCTTCAAAAGAACAGCCTTGATTTTGTCCACCGATACAGATCTTGGTGACTAGAATAAAGAAATCACTTAGTGCTACAAGCAAAATAATGAAACACGTAACAGGCACAGTTTGCTAATTCCTTCTTATACAAGCCATCAAATTTATAAAAAAATCAAATATACCTTTAGAACATAAGTCGGATTCTGGAAGCCTGTGAACGGGTTGAACTTGTTGGAGATTTTTATATGTGCTGTTTGCAAATCTGGTTCAATGAAGGCCTTGTACATTGGATAGACCTACACGAAATATGAAGTATTCAAGATACCATATATGAATTATTTGGTAAAAAAAAAACAAGAAAGAAACCAGATTTAAAAATGAAAAGAGGACATTCCAATGTATTCAGATGCTGCACAAATGAAAGATTCGAGTACAGGCAATTTTTTTAATATCATGGGTCTTTCAAAAAAGCATCAAACAGAAGGATTAACTATGAGCTTAATTTTAAAAAGGAAATACTATAAAACTAAATAACCGTTTCTGAAATTTGATGAATTATTTCTTCAGGTTCTTGTCCAGCACGCTGTATGTCCCTCAAAACCCTTTTTACCAGATCAAAATGTACCCCACCAGTCACAGAAACACGGAGGTCAAGTAGAGGGCGCAACTTCTCACTCAAAGCATAAATACCTTCAAGAATAACAATTCGAGAGCTAGGAACATCAACAGTCCTGCTAGGAAGACAACCAAAAACATCAAAAGGATATATGTCTGACAGGTCTGATGCACAACACAGTTGCATACAACTGTCTGAAAAGTGTCTACCTGTATCCTATGCGACTGCTTGACTTGAAATCATATATTGGTACCTGAATAGATTTCCCCTCTCTTAGTCCACAGATGTTTTCCAGCAAAGTGTCATAATCTGTTAGCCGTGGATCTGCTCAAGAACTGTGTGTTAGAATTTCCCGATCTAACTGTAAATAATTTTATAATTTCTGCAGGTGCATTGTGAATACCAGTTTAAATGATATGGCAATTTAACCTCATCGTATAAGATCAAGTTTGAGGTTATTAAACAATAATAATAATACAACTCATGTGGGAGTTTGAAGGAAGAACCAGAGCTGACAACTCAAGCAAGTTGGTTGTGGTTCATGATCAAAACAGGGTTTCAACTCATGCTCATAAGCCAACTGCTTACTGAACCATATTTTGACAAATGTTACAAATGGTTGTCTCTGCAACTTGCAACCCCCTTAAACTCATCATCCACAAAAAATGAGTGCAAGCAAACCCTTTGTGCCAGAAAAATCTGATGTTTAATGAACATTTGGTTGAATAGAAGTTCAATAACTTAAGATCAACTCCAATCCTCAAGTTTTAATACATTCTTTTTTGTATTGTTGACTAACTGATTCTAAAATTAAAAAATAAAATAAAATACATATATAATGCTATTTTCTAGGACTATGCAGACCACTGCCTGCTCAAGCGTACCTTCACCCTTGATGCCCATGATCTCTAGACCGCCCAAATCATGGTTGCCTAGGCATCCTCCCAATATCAAGGAAGCTTGAACCTTTGCCTCCACAACTGACACCCAAGTCACCGGTAAATAGCAGTTCTCTCTAGTAATTTAGGTATGCAAACTCTATCCTAATGTCAACTAGGTGCTGCTTCATACCTAAACCTTTCCATTCAGCTGCCTGATTTTACCATCGAAAAATACCTCATTGGAGGCCACTCTGCTAAACACTTTGTGCTCCCTATCTTGTAAGACCTTTGATGATCTCATCTCCTCCTCTCAAAATTTAAATCAGCCATCTTAGAAGAAAAGGTGCTATGCAACTGCCCACTAAACTGACAATTGAATCTGACAAATTCAATGCATCAACAGATATGAACATATTGTCTGAAGCTTGAACCCCTATAATTTCTCTCCTTAATATCTATCTATGCGGAATAAAATAAATGTCATGATCGAGTGACATAGAAAAGTGCATTATTAAATCCATGAAGAAGCAGATTCAAGCTTCCATAGAAAAGAACCTATCAATCGCAGCATCCAGTCCGTATCAGAATATAATAAACAAGATTTGATAATCAAAACTCTCTGGTCAAAATGAATAAAGTACAGCATAAATCCAAACTGCTAAATATTCATCTAAATTTCTCAAAATAGGAGTATGCACAAGAAAGTAGGTCAAAAAAACTGAATTAAAAAAATTATACAACCAAAGTAAAAGGCGAGTGAATGGCTTAAGAAATGCAAATTATGCAACTCCCATGCCTTCTGATCAAGATGGTTCCTATAAAAACCAGCTAAGTGTCAAATTTGCATCAAAATTCTCAAAAAATGCATTACTCAGTATTTATAACATTCAACCAACACCGCATTTAGAGCATCAAAAAAGAATATAAAACATAGTAATGTTGAAGCAAGAGAATGCAATGATTTTTACTGGTAATTGAAAATGAGCATGAGGATGACAAAAATTGCAAAACGATCCAAAGATATTAATTTCCTCATAGTACAAGTTACCATCAAAATTTCCATCAACGATACGACTTGAATCATTGTAGTTGTCCATCGATATGACAGCAATGCTTGGCATGAAATTGAGGACCTTCTCTGTAAATACAGTCTTCCCAGCACCAGAAGGACCCGCTACCCCAACCAAAATAATTCCATCATTTTTTTGGGCCAACAACTGGCATGCACGTATTACTATAAAGAAACCTTTTTCAAAAGATAATGGATCTTGAATTGGAACAATTTCATAACGATCAGAGTCCTTTCTCTTCACCAGTTGAACTTGGTCTCTTAAGAGGCCATGCCTTCGTCGGGGTGATTCAATTATAGTGTTATCTTCAGGCATTGATGAAACAAAATGTGGAACTCTGCAATAAAAATAAATTAAGCATGGATATGTGTAAAATGTCAAAAGCAGCAAGAGGGTACATGTAGAAACTTGATTGAGCATTATGAGAGCAAATACAAATCTGCCATACTCATTTAGAAGGTGCATGTAGAAAGAAGACTTGAAGAGTCTCAAGAGCAAATGTGAATATAACCACACTCGAGTGTTCACATACAACCTGATCAATTCAACACTAACATCTATAGCTAGATGCAAGCAATGAAAGGGAATATCAACCAGAAATATTCACATAGAATCTGATCAATTCAACACTAACATCTAAAGCTAGATGCAAGTAAAGAAAGTGAATATCAAACAAACTTTCTGGAAGCAAAGATTGATAGAAAAAGGACAATAAATGAACTAATAATTAACATCAAGTACCTATTTCCTAAAGGACTGATAACATGTACTCAACAACTTAAACGAAGCAAGGATGTACTGATAATAGAGTTGAGCAAAGCTTTATGATACTATATGGAATGTGGTTATCATTTATAAATTTGGAGTGTTTTCATATTTATTTTTGCCGATCTTTTTTTAGTTGATATTTAGATAGCCACAAGAGTCCTTTTTTTAGCCTAATTCATGTCTACGAATTCTAATATGAGTATGCTATAGGTTAGGCAGGTAAATTTGCAATTAGAATTTGTATTTGAGAGTTCATGGTGTCTCTTTTCTAGGATTCCATGGGTGGTGAAATTTCCAAAATATGAAACATTTCTAGAAATACTTGTGAGCCGGTAAGGTGGTTGGATATTTATCTTTTTCCACTGCAATAAGGTAGTTTAGACCTTAAATTTCCAAGTACCATATTTCTCTAGCTGATAGCTTTCAGGGCACTACTCTCCTCGATGAAGAATAGCTCCCATTAGGAGACCAACATTCCTAACATCAACTAAGAGCCTTATTCTACTCATCTTTCATAAGAACTAGACTTAGTGATCACGGGATACATGTAGAATACTCTTTCTATGAATTTGCTAATGAAGAAAATCAAAGTCAACTTTGTTTGCCCAATTCACATAGTATTTTCTCCCTAGGACAAGTTACTAAAACAAGAAGAAACTCTAAAGTCTTAAAGTAAGCATTATTTCTTAAAACATAGTATGAAACACTACACATAAAATGGCAACGACATCATAACCTAAATATCATAATAGATCCCAATCTGACATAAACACCATTAATAGATCGGTATCTGAGCACATAAAAGCTACGATTCCATAGATCAATCGAAGATTAGCCAAACGATTACTTTCCCCAGTCTAGGTAATGAAAATATCTTGGTTGCAAAACTTATGTATACAGCTCTGTTGAATCATCCACCGCAGGAATTCTAGTTACCCAAAGAATTCACTAATGGCATAAACCCTAGAACTACTTAACACACAGGAGCAAATCACGTCTCTCTAACCGAGGACAGGGGCGACAAATTAGAACTAAATAAAATCATCTACCTAAGCACAAAAAGGCAAAAGGCCAAGTGATCTTTTCGCACGTCAACAATTTACTGACCCAACAAGAAAAATGTTAACCATCTAATATAACAGACGATCGGGTGCAACAAACAATCCTCTCTCTCTATCGTCCAAACGATCGACACAAGATAAAACGATTAATCAACCCGAATAACTGATCTTATCGACGTGAGCATGAAATAACCACCCGAAGAAAGAAATGAGAGATAATCCTCCGGTGGGGAGAGGCGGGCACCGGATTTAAGGAAACGATGGCGGTGGAGGAGGAGGAGATTAAGGCGGCGGCGGCGGAGGAGGAGAATGATCGGCAGTGCGCTCGAGAGCGCGGACCGAAGCAATCCGAAGCTTCTCAATCTGCTGACGTCACGAACCACCGAATGTTAATAATACTTTTGCTACCCGTTTCGGGACAGCGGCTAAGGCGGGGGGAGTTGACGGGATTGGGCGGTCGTCGTTCGAGTATTTAAACACGTATTTTCTACGTATTCGTCAGCTTTTCCATCGGAGTTCTTTTACGTATAGGGACGATTACAAGTCCAATTATATATATATATATATATATATATATAATATATATATATATATATATATACATATTCAAAGTACCTTTTATTTCTTTTCATGAATGAAAAATATATGTATATTTTTAGTGTGCAGTGAATGTGCAATTGTGAAATGCTACAAGTGTTTAGTAAATAATAATTAAAAATTATATTTTAAATATATATTTATATAAGTGATATTTGATAAAATTATATTTTATTTTTTAAATATTATAATATGTGATAAATTTGCTCTTCTAATATTTTAATCTATAGAATATGTAAATCTTATATTGATGTCTTACTAAATCATATTGTCAACCTTATGATTTCAGATACTATCATAGAATACTTTAAAATTTTAATATATATATATATATATATTAAATGTTAATGTTATCCTAAGATAGCATCGGAAATTGAGTATTTGCAATGCAATCAGACCAAATATGATTAAAAAAAATTATTAAAAATTAATTCATATTCAAAATATGTATTGGATTCTCAATGCACATATGAAATATGTTATCAAATGCACCCGATATCTTATTACAAATTTTTGAACAGCAGCAAGACATCTTTAGAGGATTTATGAATATTTTACCTTACAACCTCAGGCAGCTTCAACATCCAAACATTTGTACTATTCATTATGCAAAATGAGAAAAGATATTAATGAAAGTAAGCATATGCAAACTGACATAAACCATTTCTTATCATTCGATCCTTCCATCTGATTGCAATTGTTTCATATTTATTTGGCGGTCAAGTCTTGAAGATCATTTTCATTGAGCGACAATTGCTTCATCATTTTTCTATTGGTAATTTGACGGACAAATACTGACTTTTTCGATTTCTTACTTATAATCATTTTGGTTTGGATTAGATGGTACATGATTCTTAGTTTACTTTCCTGTGGTTGTTTGTCGGTGAAGTCTTGGGGATACGTTATAGCTTTGTACCATCCCCAAGACTTCGCTTACAAACGATCACAAGAAAGTAAATTAAGATGTAAATGTGATCTAATCCAAACTAGCTCCAAGATTTGACTGACTACCAAATTATTCGAAGAAATCAAAGAAGCAAGTGCGATACAATTCATGCCATCTCCAACATTTTATCCACCAAAAGCGAGAAAGAAAGTGTGATCCAATTGAAACGACGTCAAAGATTTGGCAGCCAAATGACCGGAATCAAGACAACGAAAAAGGACAAAAAAATGCAATTCTAGCCAGTTCATCTCCAAGATTTGATCATCGAATAACCAAAAGCCAAAAATATAAAAGCGAGGATGTTATTGCGATCCAATGAAAACGATCTTCAAATTTTGACTACCAAAGAACCAGAAAACCAAAAGAAGGATGAAGCAATTGTGATCAGATCGTGACCAAAAGTAGAGATTTCTTGATCTCTACTCTCTAGCGTGACCACCTGATACATAAAATGTGCTAAATTGACGTGCAATAAGTGCTTAACCATTCCTACTAATGCTGAATCAATGATATGCTATCTGTTCTTGGGACCGAATCTGAATGTCCTTTTATGGGATACAATCAATCTAGTACATCTCCTGGTTATTCCTACTCTGCTGCAAACAAGTTCAAAGCTGTGGTATGGGAGGAGTCAACTCTGTATGATTACTTGCTTAACACGAAGAAGGTATGAAACTTTGATCCCTGACTTGTGGTTGGTTATATCTAGCATGCAAGACCAATAAAATTAACTTTGCTCTATCAATCTCCACATGATCTTAAGTATCACAAATCGGACACTGCATTCTACAATGACTCTGTTTGAATAGATGTGAAAGGATTTATTTACCTCAAAGACAAAAGAAATGCATTTTTTATGCTCTTGTCGTTATGTATAATGATACTATTATTTTACAGATTGGTTTTGTCCAATGGAGTAGAACTACAATACACTGTCAACAATTTTTTCATGCAATTACTTAAATTCACTGAATATTAATAGAGTTTGACAGTGCGAGTTTTAAGTAAATTATGGGACTCATAAATTTTGGCAGAATACTCTGTAGAGAATCTCTCCATACATGTAGAGGGTTAGTATAAATGCAGTAAAAATGGTTTAATTACAAGGGGAAATTTGATTGGACTTTTTACTGCCAGCATCAAAATATCTTCACTCAGAAAACAAAATTAAATAAGGGGTCAAGATATAACATTCTACAAAGAAAATAAATAAATAAATACAACTTGGCGTCAATATCTATGCATGCCATCAATCTATTTATTAAAGAAAATCTAAAATCAACAAACAAGACAGCAGGAGGTCAGTACTTATAAAATTAAATGATGATAACTATGGTGCCATTTCAACTTACCATGTACCGCAAAGCAAATAATTCAAGGTTTGGAAGCATTTCAGAACACACTGTTGGTTTCTTCCAAACAAGCACATTTCACCAACAACAACAGATTGTAGCTTGGAATAAGTAGTCTCACCATTGCAGTTGTAAAGTCATCCATTTGTAAAGCTCATCTGCAATATTTTTCACAATGGCTAACCGGTTAGATAGTAAGACATGAACTATAACAAGCATATTCAATTTAGATGCCTTTACCAAAAGGCACTAAGATAACAGAATTCCAATCAAAGAGAGATCAGAACTGCATGCTTCAATTTTGAAAGGTCCTATAGCACTATTATTCTTTTTAATTGGAATCACAAAACTAATCAACGTGAGGTTCTTTACGAGCACACGCATACATCTAATTCCTTGACACATGGTAACTCACCTGTTACTCTTTGCTAGGATGGTGTAATCATTCTTAATTGTGCTGTATCATGATAAATTATATGGTTATGATAACAACCATCTTGATATTCCAGCAAATATAACCATTACATGATAATCAATATGTCTGTTGATTTTGTTTGCCACAAGCTACGGTTACTATACTTATAAATCGAGGCAAATGATTCGTTTCTGGCTCATCGTGTCCACCATGAATAACCTTCACCACAATGTGCAAGCCGTAAGCTATTTATGGCACTGCTGGAACATAAATGTGAGAAACAGAAAGTACTACATACATTATTCCCAACGTTAACTATTTTGATGCATAAACAACTATAGGAACCTCAAAATCATTGCAGCATCAAAAACTAGTACAGAATTATTCAATCTACCAAGAAAGAAAAGGAAAGCAGAGCAAAGCAAAGCATCCTGGTTTATATCAAGAAAACCCATTTCTCTAAGGCAAGATATGCACTAAGGTCTACCTATCTGCACTCGTAAACAGATATGACTCGAAAAGGCATACCAGTATAAGCATCGAACTTGATTATGCTAGTTGGTAGCCCAATCATCTTTCCAGAAAAATGAAATGAATAAAATTCCATGTAAGCTTTATTCCACATTGTTCTTCAATAAACTATAGCTGAAAAACATTGTTTTTGATAACCAGTTAAACCATGACTGGAATGAAAGTTTATTATGTGCAATGCCACAACTGACAGCATTACAGAATCCAAGAGAGTGATAATGAGAAGCATTTTAACAAGCTAAAAGCTTACACGAAGGTGGAAGTCACTTGTGATTTACCAAGCAAACAAGTAGCACAAGAAGTTGATACCTGTGGTTCCTAAGAAATAGCAAGCATGGCAGTGCAGTGAATAAGAATGATATGAGATATGATTTCTGGTTTAACCAAGATGAGGTTGTACCTAATTAGGGGACAAAATCGCAAGAGAAAGTTCTCCCAAAAAAAGAAGAAACAATGCTCAAAATGTCAAATGGTGAGAAGCAATCCGTATCATCTGACTTTAAAGAAGTAACCATGATAGAATATACATCTATCGACTATTCTTGATGTGTCTTTGTATGTAATTAAGTGGAGGAATCCAAGCCTCCAATGGAACTTCTCGGTTCACGAGTTGGTCTTTTAATCTTTGTCGAGCACTTCTATCTGCACCAATTAGCTTCCTCCCACATCAATTTGAAACAGTTCCTAAAGCAGACAAAACCAACAAATTTTAAAAATGCAAAGATTCACGGTCAGGTGAAATTGTCAGTATTAGAGAACAACACTTGTTATTATCAATAGAGTACTTAAACTTTATCAAAGGAATGCAGATGTCCATTGTTTCATAATGGTATTTGACATAGACATAACACCAGCTGAAAGTGCCAACCAGATCTATTTGTTTTTAATTCCAAGAAACGAATCCAAGTTTTTGTATTATCTAGCTTTTACTTGTTTTTCTTATGTTATTATAAAGCCAATAAGAACCATAACCTACATTCGACGATAAAACTTTTTCAATCCAATTGACGTTTTCTGCAAAGTAATTGTATCTTTGAATGTGCAGCAATAATTGAACCAAGTTATTTCTTTGAGACACTATTTAGTCCAGTTGATTTTACTTCTGCATAGAACTCTATTTGCCTCCAGCACCAACACCATCCCCCCATCCACCCACAAGACCTTATAAAGAAACAGAAATGAATTGGCTGGACAAGGAAGCTACTCCTCCTCCAGCTGGACCTAGGCTGAAAATGAACCTTCCTTTCGAGGTTGCCTTACCATGCAGATGGATTTTGGCAATGACAGACTTAAGCCATTTAACCGAAGTAAAGAAAAATCAGAAGGCAATATATTTTATGTAAATTAACCACACATCTTTATCTCCTATATGATTTCATAGGCATGCATTAACTAGATCAAATCATCCTTTGTCCAGGAGATAATTATTTGATGACAATATCAAACTGAGATAAACAAAAATCAGAAGGCAATGCTTTAAATCAATCACAAGTATATTTCAACTTAAATAGTTTTGTTCAAAAGATGATTACCTAATTCCTGATCAATCGAAATCACATCTACGCGTTACAAAGAGACAAGGAAGACTAAAGATGGAGGATTAATTCACTAGCCAAAGCTTTGAATTCCATCAACATAACAGAAGACCAAGGTCCGCATCTTGTTATCAGTTTCGTTAGGATTCATCGCCAAGCTCAATTTTTCATTCCTATACATGTACGAAGAGCCCAACCTGGAAAGCCCTGATTGATGATACCGATCAACGGAGATATTTAACATCATCCGAAAGAATATAAATGATGCGATCCTCAACGTTCGAAAAATTCGAGTTAAACAGGGACAAAACCACACATACGATCAAAGAGGACGGAAACCATCAGTGGTCAAGGGCGTGGGAGCAGCAACGGCTTGGCCCAGCCGAGTCGCCAGCGGGCTTATCGCCGCGGTCCTCCTCGTCGCTGTCGTCCTCGTCGAAGGGCTTCTGCTTGTGGAAGATGCAGCACTTCTTGGAACTCTTGCGGTTGAGGAACTCGTTGTCGACCGTCCCTTCCTTCCAGGAGACCTTCTTCTTGGGCCGCTTGAGTCGGAGAACTAGGGTTTCGGGCGGCTGCGATCGCTGAGAAGAGGTGGGAGCCGAAGAAGAAGAAGGGGACAGCTCTTCGATCGTTAGGGTTAGGGTTCCGGTCGTTGACGGAGCGGAGGTTCTCGCCATCGCTCGCCGTCTCGTTTCGGTAAGAGATTATTGTTCAAAGCCCATTCTTATTCTTCCTAATCCTTTCCTGTTCATAATCCCATTAAAAATAATAATAAATTTGAGTTGTTATAGAATATACATAATCTTAAAAATATTAAATTATTATAATAAATATCAAAAAAAATTTCTCACATTCACTTTTTCGATCTTCAGTTTATCTCATCTTATTATCTATTTTTTTTATTAGTTTACGTCGTATCTAATGATTAAGAGAAAGAGGTGGAAACGAAAAGGAAAAAAGATTATAAGTAAAAAAAATAAAAAAATAATAGAATTAGAGAATATATGTGTTTATTCATAAAAATAATTTAAAAATATTTAAAAATTTTATTATTAAATTATAAATAATAAAAAAATATAAATAATGATATACTTTTAGTATCGTGAGAGAGTTGAGGAACCGATCATCAATTGTCCCTTCCAGATATCTTCTTCTTAGGTTACTTGAATCGAAAAACTAGAGTTTTGGATAACTATAATCGTCGAGAAATAATGAGAGTCGAAGAAGAATCCTTCCTCCTAATTCCTATAAATAGGAGAGGAAACATGTTAATAGATTCAAGCTAAAGTTTACTTCAATAAAGCTTTTTATATTATATTGTTCTTATCTTCTATTATTTCTATCATGGTATCAGAGCCGCTTGCCTCTTCTCGTTGCCAATTCATCATTGGTGTTGCCACTCTGCGCCAACGTCAGCGAAGCTTCGCTCTTGCCAAAAAAATATAAATATAAAGTAAAAATATTTTATTAAAATTATTTATAAAAAATTTTAAAAATATTTAAAGTGTTAATCATGATATTATAAATAATGATATCCTTTTAGTATAGTATCATGAGAGAGTTGGGGATTTCTACAAGAAAAAAAAAAAACTATGCCTCGGCTCATAAATTCAATAAATAATAGTTCAATTAGTAAAAATAAAAATTTTAGAATTTTCATAAAAATAATTAAATGATAAACGCCATATTATACAAATTTAAAATAATTACTTTCTAAATAATAATTATATCATGAGAGAGTTGAGGATTTCTAACCATAATAAATACTAATAAGTAAATAATGCTTTTATCACCCTCGGTTTGCTTTCCCACCCACCGACTCGATCTTCAACCCTTCAACTACCACACGTATATGCCTGGACACAATTATGATAAGTTTGATGAATCATAGTTCAACTAAAAAAACTAGAAGTTTATAACTTTCATAAAATAATTAAATGATAAATGTCAAATTACGTAAAATTTAAAAATAATTATATCTTGAGGGAGTTGAGGATTTTTAGTATATTATATTATTTTATTTGATCATAATATTGATAAGTAAATAATACTTTATCATGCCCGATTTTCTTCGTCAATTATCGATCTTAAATTAATACTCATATATATATGAGTAAAAAAAATAACTTTGTGTCAGCTCAATTATGATAAGTTTGATAAATGATATTTTAATTAATTAAAATAAAATATTATAATTTTATAAAAAATTAAATGATAAACATCAAATTATATAAATTTAAAATATTAAAATAATTTATTTATGATGATAGTTCTAGTGGTAAAAAAAATTAAAATTAAAAAAATTAAATATTAAGTATTAGATTATATACTACTGCAATAATAATAAAACTGTAAGTTTCAACTATTTGGTATCGCCTATGTAGATCTTTTGTTATCATTGAGATATATAAAAAAAGTCATATATTTAGGTACGTTTAAAATACTTAAGTTTTTATTTATAAATTTTATTAAGATCATTTTAGATTTTTTTTTATCTTTTCTCATATCATTTAATATTAATTATTTTAATCTTCTGACCATCACATCCATAGATCTCTTAAGCATGTACAAATATTATCTTAAATGATTTTTGATTAACTTATTTTATTATTTATCGATGTAATATCTAATTATTTATAGAAAAAAAATAATTATTTTTTTATCTTTCATAGTAACTATATACCTCTATCTTAATAAAGGTATTTAATGATCATACAAAACTGTTTACACCCATTGTCATTTTAATTATTTTATTTATACTTTATAAATAATATCTTCATCGATCTTTCTATCTTGCTAAACAATTAATTTAATATACCTAAAACTTTTACTTATAGACTTTTTATCTATTCAATCCAACTCTATTCTATTGTTTATTTCTAAAATCACTAAGATTATATTTTTTATATATTCAATTTTAGTCATATTTAATCTAAAATATTTAGTTTTTATCAATTAAAATAATATTATAGCAAATAACATACACAAGGGATATCTATCATATAAAGTTCATCTATTATCAATCTAAAAAAGTATGAACTTAATACTATATTAATAGAAAATTTATTGGACACACTTCATATAGTTTAACACTATCATATATATCCTTAATAATATCAATATAATTAGTAGATATATCTTTCTTTTTAAATACCTACTATGATAAATCTGTAGGTATCTTATCATAGACTTATTTCAAGTCAATAAAAATCATATTTAAATATTTTTTTATTTTTTTATTAATTAATTTAAATAAAATAAAATTTTTTATGATTGATCATCCAAACATAAAATAAAATTATTTTTCAGAGATATTTGTTTCAAAACCTTATTCTATTTTGATAATTTATTCCCAAAATTTTGATTCATGATTTTATTTTATTTTATATAATTTATATAATTTTGTGTACCATCCTTATTTTGATAAATTAATATTAGAAAACAGATATTCAAATTCAAGACCTCAACTTACTAAATGGGTTCTCTAACCAACCGAGCTATTACCAATTTTCCACCTTTAAATATATAATAATTTCTAATGCGTTTAAGAATCACACTTTAAATGTTTTTGTTTTCCCTTCCGCAAAAGCTCTTCTAGCATTTCGAGAGATGCTAGCGAAGTTGGCAAAGCTGTAACTTAGAGAACCACAATAAGCATATTATTTTTGGAAAACCCCCCCACCCCAAAGAGACTAATTTATATACACACGCCAACCTTCTTCCCTCTCTTAGTAAATAATTAAAATTAATATACAGAACGATACTATCACTTTAAAGGTTGAAGAAGAATATTTAGGATTATAATCTGTCACTGTAATTTGACTAAGCAAACTATGTGCTAATGTGCATCTTTTTAAACTTATATATATAGAATGACGATGGCATCTTTCAACATCTCGTCGATATGTCCGAGTGGTTAAGGAGACAGACTCGAAATCTGTTGGGCTTTGCCTGCGCAGGTTCGAATCCTGCTGTCGACGAAACCCTTTTGCGTCGTCCTGTTTCAATCCAATATGTTTTATTTTCTCGGTTCGATCCGGTTCGGTAAAAGCCGAACCTTCAATATAGTTTTGGTCCGGTTTTCTAATGAAGCTTTTTAATGAAAAGTTATCCAATTTGGTCATTTACTCGGTCCGATCCGGTTCAGTAAAAGCCGAACCTTAGATCTATGTGTTTTCGGCCTTTTGGTTTTGGTCCGGTTTGCAAATGAAGGTTTTAAATGATAGGATGGAACCTTTTCATTGAATTAAATGCTACACTTGGAATTAAAGGGTTAAACATTAACAGAGTATACAGTCGGGTACGGCAACAAAGAAACCCATAGACCGGTTTAGATCCAATTTGTCTTCGTTGATTCGGTTCGGTTCGGTTTGAAAGATTTACCCATAAACCTTGTAAAATTCTTATATTAATATCTAATGTCTCTCAAAATAACTCAGATTAATCAACATCAATTATGATTAGTATTAAGTTAATATTATAATTAGTAATATATGAATGCCACGTAACGTTTTTAATTTAAGTAGGGTTATATACGTAGATCAATGACTTTGAGGGACTACTATACAATTTTGCCATATATATCATACTTGTGGATACAATTATATAGTCACGGCCTTTCGAACTCGACTCGTTCCCCAACTCAACTCAGTGTGCCGCCGAACGGAGTCGTATTTCTGGAGACGGACTCTGCTGTGGTCCGGCAAATATTGATGGCAGAGTCCCTCTCGCAAGTGGAGAGGGTTAAGCAAGCGATGGAGGAAACAAGAGAGGCGGCGGCGGAGTTGCGGTTTCAGGATCACGGCAGCCGTCTCCCCTTCGCCCGCGGCGGCCCCATCTTTTACCCTGGCCTCGTCGGGCCCATCACCTCGGTCCGCGATTTCAAAGCCTCCATCCTCGAAGAACTTCAGGTAATCCTCCACTCCGGTGACCCGGTTGCTCCTAGCGATCGTCACCGGGCTTTACTGATGTTTTGCTTCTATTCGCAGAGTTTGCAGGCCGAATTGGTCTCAACGGAAGATTTCGAGCAAGAGCTCTCGTAAGTTCTCCTTTTCTTGGTCTTTGATGGACTCTCTTTTTGGATTGATGAATCACATGTCTCACATTAGGGTCGATGAGCTTAAGGTACTTACGGAGGAAGAACTGGTGGAGATAGCCCTAAAAGAGGAGGTGGGCTTTCCTTTTCTTGCTGATTGTTAAGATGATAATTTTGGCGTAATAGCAGATGACGCTTTTAAGCATTGTTGCAGGATGTTCCAGGCGTTCATGATTCATCAAGGCTTCTAGAGTGTTCAGGTGAAGGGTAAGCTAAAAACAAACACATCTTTTTTCTTTAAAAAAAAAAACGACACAGGAGTATATAATTGTATGTGTGCCGTACTTTTCAGCATTGTTTTACTACCCTTATTTTATCTGAGGGTTCTTTTCGGCATTATATTATCTCGACTTGCTTTGTCTAAGAAACAGCCTTTTTGTTTGGCGTTTGCACAATTCATGACAATGTTTCTTATATTTCACAAATTTCTTATATCCACTATTCCAGTCTGTAGGAATTTTAGTGAGAAATTGTAATATGCAGCATTAATTTCTGCTTTAACCTTTTATGCCCATTAATTTTCATCATACACTATTTACTTGATGATAAATTATGACTATCATGCTAGTATGTGTTGAGGTTTCTGACTCTTATTTCTCATTACATTAGATGTGTCATAGATATATGAGAATTTACGGGTTACCTGTAGGATATATTTTGACATCTTATAAGATTAAGGAACTTAAATGCTTTCTCTTGTGTTTAATTTGGTGAATTATATCATAACATCAGAATAATTCATGGAGCTATGGTTAAATTATAACTGCACTGCAGAATTGTAGGTGATGCCAGCATTGGGAAAGAAATAGTTTGCTCGACAAGCTCAACAATGGAAAGGAGCAACTTGGAGTCATCTGAAAATTCGAAGGTTTCCCATGCATTGACATGTGAAACTGATGCTTCAAACAAGATAGTGAAGAAGAAGGGAGGGAAAAGAGGAAGGCGCTTTGATAGAGACTGTCGAGCTGCTGAATTGGAAGTATGCTGCCTAATTCTTTATCTAGTTTTGTATGATATGAGTATTGCAGTTTATCCCCCTCTTGGATCCCCTTATTCTCTTTCGTAGATCTAAAGGTAGCACTCTGACTTTGAAAATTTTCTGTACATCTATTATGGGATATATTCACTGCATAATTCAAAGTTCAAACATTTTCTTTCTTCTATTTTGTGCTAAAATCTCTTATCATACAAGATAACTGGATTATTCTTATTGGTAATAGGCTTTTGTCTTTTGGAGATAAGAGTCATAGGTGTTACTACTTGCTTATATTATAGACAATGCATTGCTAGAATATGTACCCGTGTAAGTGGTGGGTCGGACAATTGATATTTTGTTTATGTGCCTATCCTTAATAAAATTTCATGCTTATAGATATATATCTTTATTTTTGATATGATATTTTTATATATGTTATTATGTAATATGTATTTATACATTTATATTATGATTTTGACTGATTTTTAAGAATGACTTTGAAACTTAGAAAATTACTACAAAAAATCTTAAGGTTTTTACTTGATCCATGATCCATTACAATCCTAAGCCCTCTGTAACTTACTATATAATCTTAGTTTTGATTACTTTGGGATTATGTTAGACATTCTATAAATATTGACCAGGTTTGTTACTGTCATGATCTTCCACATTCTTTCTTTATTGCACTTGTGTCAAAAACTCAAACTCTGTATAGTCTTGCTGCTATTTTTTAACAGAGCTGGGAGTTCAGACTTTATGGATAACCTTGGTGTCATTATCATTGGCATGAGTAGGAGGAGCATTGATCCACTTTCTTTGGAGCATCTGGAGTCAACAAGCATTTTAGTCTATGTAAATGATGGTAATAATCAACACTTTTACTTAGTAGAACTAGCCAATTTGCTGATGGTGGACTTTTGAGGGTGTAGAATGTGCTCACAGTTGCATAAAAATGAATTGGTAAACACTAATTTATATGGTATCATTCAAAGACCTTCTAAATAACATAATGGCAAAAGGGTTCGGAGTTTTCAGAAGCATTTGTCACCATGGATAAATGGAGAAGCATCAATTAGGGAGTGAGAAAGGCAGTTGTGTACCAAATTACTGTTCAGTAGACATGTTATATTCTTCATGTTAGAGGTGGATATTGGCATACCTCCACAAATGTGTAATGATGAGCCTGTTCTAATATTTTGTGCCATTTTTGTGAAAGATTATCTTGTAATGGAAGACAGCTATTGCTTTTAATTCTTTGATGAGTATAGCTTATCTCTGATATATTTTTTTAAAGTCTTGCATCAATTATAAATTAATGTTCGTGCATGTGTTCAATGATCAGGGTGATTATTTTGCAAAAGTGGAAGAACTTGCAAAGATTAAAAAAAGGCAGGATGAGGACAAACTAGCAGCGAGACTACATTCATTTAGGTAAGCTTATGAGTTACTATAATTTAAGTGCCCACTTCTAATTAATTTATACTAGCAAAAAACAAGTGTATGTAATGTTCAAGTATAAACTGTATTAAATAATGCAGATATTATTTTATCTGATAGACAGTGAAAAGTTGAGATAATTCATCACCTAAGTTATATTTTGTGTTCTACTTTTACTTAGTACTGTTAATCGTGATTTTATGTTTATGCAGTGGCAACTCCAAGCTTGTTGAAGGGGCAACCTCAACCTCAGAAAAAATTGAGAGGACGAAATCCCTGAGGTTTATAACTACTCCTGTGAAGGTTAGGATCCAGAGCTATGTCTTGGAGTTCATGTTCATTTTGCTCTAGATATGCAGTTAATGTGAGACCCTTGTTTAACATATTTATGTTACATCCCTGATATTGTGACATCCCTGCTGTGTTGATATGGTTCTCTAGGGAGTGAAGTCTTTTTGTTGAAAATAATTGTGTAACTGTTGATTTTTTTAATATTAAACTGCTTATTGGCATATCATTTTATTTTTATAATATCCAGTCTTCTAGTGTCTTCCAGAAGAAATCATGATTGAAAGGTACAGGGTTACATATATTTGACATTGTCATCTTGCTTCACTCTTAATTTTATTGGCAACTTCATGCTTAATTAATTTTTTTATTAATTTATTTTTCATTTTTGCATTAGAAAGTCTTGACTTTCACTTTTGCAACTTTGTGCTTTATTTCTAAATTTTTTATAGATAAGATGTGGTCAGTAAATTGAATGTTTTCTTGAGTATGTAATACAATTTGTTGCATGAATCTATTTTAGAGCATTGTGAGTCATGTTTTGAATATTCACAGTATGTTTGTCACCGTGACAATGTGTTGTTCTCTACTTTTTGCTCAGTGGTGAATTTCCTTTTGTTTGCACAGGTGAAGTCTCTATCACAAGAGCATGTGCCAATATATTTTCCTGAGCTTATTCTTTGTGTAGAGATTTATGCCAAGAAAAGCACCTTAAGAAAGGTAAAACTTGCTACTTATACACTGGAAAATCTATTGCAGAAAAGATAATGCTGTTCTAGTCATTTATTATAGTTGTAGCTATTCTCATGTTTATTATTTTATGGTTTTCAAAATGTTCTTTGGTTTTCTAGTGAATCTGAATGTATTTTAGTGCATGAAGGAGATGCTGTTATATAGTTCATTTGGTAAAGTTGTCTCACTTAATTCATTGAGAGGAAACTGTGATCCTATAATAGTTCTCTTCATCTTCTTCAACGATTTTTCCTGTGATAAACAGCCTTACCTGAAAGGCAAGTTGATCATCGCATCTTTTTAACCCGAAACGACTGAGGTGAGGAAAGGTTCTTTTTGAGAGTACTCCGAGAATAGATCCAGTGAAGACAGGGTAAGCCCTGTAGTTCAGAGGACTAGAACATGTGGCTACGAACCATGGTGTCGGGGGTTCTCAATTATCCTCACTCACAACCTTCCCTTTTGGGAAGGCAAACTGATCATTGATGCCATGGTAGCAATCACTCCTATAACTGTCTAGCCTTTTGGGTGAATTTTGATTCATCAATGATGGTATTAACATTTGAATCCGGGCCTCGTCATATCTATTTTACATCTTTGCAAACCCAAACTCTGTGGGATCTTTAAGAATGGTGACAACTGCATGATCAAAAAAGGGGTGGCCCAGTGCTCAAGGCTTGCACTAGCACGGGATTGTAGACAGCCTACAATTAGGGAGGTGATTTCTGTGACTCGAATTCTGGGCAACTGCTACATGACACATCTATAAACTCTCGGAATCTACATTACAGTGGACCAAGATCCAATATTTTGCATTATATAAAAAGGATGAAGTTGTGTACATGTATTTTAGTGGCTTACTACTGGTAGCTTAGGTTTAAGCATTTTTAGCTGTACTGATATTCACTACTTGTAAACTGATGTCCACTCCAAAAGTTAGTAGTACTAATTGTTTGCTTGTGTTGTTATAATGGTATTTAGCACCTGTGTAGGCTCCCTCATGTTTATTAACAAGAAAATTAATTCAAGATATTACAAAACTTCCATGCGACTTGACCTTGGAATTTAGTGTATTTTTTGCACTTTGTTTGATCATAATTTAGTGTACTTTTTTGCACTTTGTTTAACCTATTTAAGTGGAGCTCTTTGTTATCTGTTTGTGCTGCTTATATGGTTAATTTTCTATTTATCACTCATTTGGTGCTTCTGTATCTCCACTAATGTACACTGCATATCACTGCAGACCCAAGAATTTTTAGTACTGGGTAGCCAAGTCCTAACGGAGCTGAAGGATCGCATCTACTGCTTGACAGATAAGCTAATGGAGATGGCAGGGGAACATGATCCTTCTGGATATTTCCTCATTGAAGTATCGCTTTTTTCTGTTCCTCACTTGTATGATTTATATGCATATTATTTGAGGATGATTTTGCATTTATGACTGTTCTTCATGTAGGATACTTTTTGCAATGATCTGCGGAACCCTTCTTTTATCGACTACAGTAAACCTGTGTTTGACTGGCTTAAGGACAACAGTGATGAGGCCATTGAGAAATGGGAATACATCATGTCTGGTGAGTTGAAGAAGAAGCAAAAGGAGCTTTTAGGTGATGCAAATGTCTCGAGCTTACCAAAGTTTAAAGCTTTGGACATGCATAAGACTCGATTTTCTGACCTGCGGTTCAGATTGGGTTCTGGATATCTTTACTGTCATCAGGTGCACAATTTTTAATTTGTTTGGACAACTCGCAATTATTGTTTCCTTGAGAACACAGCATCATGTTTGAAGCATGTCATTTGGTTCCAACTGTTATGATTCTTGTAAAAAAAATTATAAGAGTTGTATATTAGCAAGCATTATATCTTGAAAATAAAACATAAATCTACAATAGTTAGTAGATTATTACTTTGTAGTCTACTTTGCTTTAAATTGTATATATATTGAGTTATTCTGTTTCTGGTCTCCTGAATGATATTACTATTCTTAAAAGCTTAAAATCAATTCTGATATCATGCCAAAAAAAAGATAGAAACATCCTTTCTTTTATATTTTTATCTTTCTTTAAATTTTTATTAACAAATTAAAATGATTTTTTTTTCATGTACTCGAACTTCCACGGGTGGGTGATGTTCTTTCACGTGTGTGTTCTTAACTGTTAATCTGATTTCAGGGAAACTGCAAGCATACCATAGTGATAAGAGACATGAGATTGATCCACCCCGAGGATGTTCAAAATTGGGCAGATTATCCACTCCTTACATATCAACTGCGACGACATTACAGGAAATGTTCAGTCTGTGACATATACATCGCAACAAAGATGACGGTCGATGATAAGTGGGCTCCGGTGAACCCTTGTTATTTCTGCATCAAATGTTATTTCCTTCTTCACTACAAGGAGGACAACTCGTTGTTATATCCTCACACTGTATTCGATTATTTTCACGAATAGTGTGCATTTTCATGATAGTTACTTGTGTTCATATTTATGCATTTTGTCTCGTAAATGTTGTTGGGGAGGAAGCTCAGCTTCTTTGGGATGTGGACTAGCCTCCTTGCTTTGGACAAATCATGTTCTTGGGTTATTGCCATATGCTTGGTCGGTTAATGTTGTTTCTTTACTTTACCACTGCATATACATGGCTGTCTATTTGGTCATCACATCTTGCCTGGGTGATGTTTTTTTTTCGAAAAAAATAAAAACAAACTATATTGCAGAAGTATTACAAGTGAAATAGGAGGTCAAGAAGGATTTGGGAGCCCTACAGTCATATATTTGTTCTGTATACAAGATTTTGACATTATTACTAATTGCTTAGTGTGCTAATTGAGAATGAGATGCATATTTGTTCTATATACAAGATTTTGACATTAATACTGATTGCTTAGCTTGTGAATTGAGAATGAGATGCATATTTGTTGTGTGTACAAGAGTTTGATATTATTACTGATTGCTTAGTGTGCTAATTGAGAATGAGATGCATATTTGTTCTATATACAAGATTTTTGACATTAATACTGATTGCTTAGTGTGCTAATTGAGAATGAGATGCATATTTGTTCTATATACAAGATTTTGACATTAATACTGATTGCTTAGTGTGCTAATTGAGAATGAGATGCATATTTGTTCTATATACAAGATTTTGACATTAATACTGATTGCTTAGCGTGCAAATTGAGAATGAGATGCATATTTGTTCTGTGTACAAGAGTTTGATATTATTACTGATTGCTTAGTGTGCTAATTGAGAATGAGATGCATATTTGTTCTATATACAAGATTTTGACATTAATACTGATTGCTTAGCGTGCAAATTGAGAATGAGATGCATATTTGTTCTGTGTACAAGAGTTTGATATTATTACTGATTGCTTAGTGTGCTAATTGAGAATGAGGTGCATATTTGTTCTATATACAAGATTTTTGACATTAATACTGATTGCTTAGTGTGCTAATTGAGAATGAGATGCATATTTGTTCTATATACAAGATTTTGACATTAATACTGATTGCTTAGCGTGCAAATTGAGAACGAGATGCATATTTGTTCTGTGTACAAGAGTTTGACATTATTACTTGATAGGGGTAAAAACTGATTTGACATAACACCCTGAGATTTGACGTAATACACCCCCACGTCAGACACCCCTGTGCGGCATACTGCCCCAGGGAGCGAGCATTAACACCGACGCGACATGCACCCACGCCCATCGTACCCAAACGATCTCCTCGGTCGATCCCTCATGACCGGCCGAGGTAGGGGGAGGCGTCGACTGACACTCCCCATACCCTGCAGTAGCTCGGCCTTCCACGCAACGCCCACGACGACGACAGACGCCATCAGAGGTACGGCCCTGCTCTGGCAGGATGGCACATCACGTAACATCAAACCCACTTATAAATACCCCCTGGCCCCCAACGGGCAGGGGGGAGACACGATCTCACTCAAAACTCCACTCTGCATCACTGACTTGATCGTCGGAGGGGTCGGGCCGAGCCACCGACCCGATCTGTGTGCAGGTACTCGACCGAAGCTGAACCTGCTCGGCGCCGCGGAACTTCCCAGCCAGATCCCCTACATCAGCCACCACAAGATCCCAAGGGGAGCCGCGTCTGATCCTAACCATTTGGAGCCCTGAACCAGCGGCGTCGACTCCGAGGTCATGACTAAAAAAGTTACTTACCGTAACAGATTGGCGTTAGAAGGAGGGTCGCCCGTCCAAATGTCAAGCGATCAGCGAATCCACTTCGGCGGACCCAAAACCGCTGGGCTCCCCTCCCCGGGGGAACACCCCCCGCATGTTGAATCCCGCGACGAGCGCCCCGCAGCGATGTCGGAACGCTACTGGCAATTGTTCAACGACCCAGGCTTGTCGCCTCCCGACGGCGCACCCGCCGGCCCGTCGTCAGTATCACCCGAGGCCTTTCACGACCTCGCCCTCCGAGTCCGAGCCTTGACAAGCATGGTCCAAACCATCATTCCGATCGTATCCCAGCGGACCCCTCCGCATGCGACCCGACCTTCGCAACAACGGGAGACCCTTGCCCGGACTCACGCACCGCTTCCAGAGCTTCCCGTCTCACCTCAAAACCCCGCAACTTGGCCCGGGAGCCGGGAAACAGAAGACACGGCGAGCCGCCCCGAGCCTGAGGCTCCGACTGCCGACTCGACGAATGCCCTACGAGCTCAGTTGCGCCTCCTTAGTCAAAGACTCGACGAAGTACAACAGGAAGTTCGTAAGTCAAAAGGAGAGCTCGGGGCGGACGGACATCAAGGATCCCCATTCACCCCCGAGATACAAGAGCAGGCGATCACGCCACACTTCCGCCTCCCCTCGCTGGATGCGTATGACGGCGCCGCTGACCCAGCGGACCACGTGGCCGCTTTTCGCGCCCAAATGATGCTATACGGGACTTCTGACGCCTTAATGTGCAGGGCGTTCCCAACGACTCTGCGGGGGCCAGCCCACGCGTGGTACAGTGGCCTGAAGCCCGGCACCGTCGCCTCCTTCGATCAGCTCGCCAAGGATTTCGAGCTTAACTTCTTGGCTTACACCCGACCAAAGCCGTCCATGGCATTGCTCCTCGGGCTCAACCAGAAGGAGGACGAGCCCCTCTCCCATTTTGTGAACCGCTTTACGACGCAAATCCACGGATTGTCGGATGCTCACCCCTCTCTTGATGCAGGCATTCATGATAGGCCTGCGACCCTCCAGGTTCTTCTGGTCATTCGTGGAGCGACCCCCCACCGCGATCCCAGAAATGCTCCAGCGTGCCAGTCAATTCATCGCCGCGGAGACTTGGATGGCTGGGAAGTGGGAGGAGCACAAAAAGGTCAAATCAGAGCCACCTCGACAGCAACAACCCGCCGCCTCCCAACGAAGGTTGGACAGACCCGACCCAAGGTCTCCTCTTCCCGCCTTGAATTCATCCCGAACTGAAATATTCCTACACGAGAAGGGGAAGGGCTACTCAAGGAACCTCACCCGATGAGGAGCCCGCGGGAGCTCGCAAACCGTTCGAGGTACTGCCGATTCCATCGGCAGCACGGGCACGACACCGAGCAGTGCCGCGAATTCAAGAGGCAAATCGAGGAGCTCATCCTCAGAGGTCACCTCGGCCAGTACCTCCGGCCGAACAAAGAGCAGTCACCTCGCCCGGAGGGCCCCGTCGAGCGACACATTGATGTGATAGCCGGGGGCCCCGCATTAGGGGGAGGCTCCACGTCGGGCAGAAAGGCGTATGCCCGAGCCGCTCCCGACGAAGCCTCGGGACACGAGCCCGAGCCCGAGATTACCTTCCCAACCGGAGCTGCCGAGCGACCCGACCACGATGACGCCCTGGTGATATCGACCAGGGTAGCCAACGCGCAGGTGAGAAGGATCATGGTCGACACGGGGAGCTCGGCCGATATACTTTACTTCGACGCCTTCCAGAAGTTGGGCTTGGCCAGGGAGAACCTGAGCCCGATGTGCTCAGCGCTCACCGGGTTAACGGGAGATTCAATATCACCCCTTGGGGCTATTACTCTACCCTTGACTCTGGGGACCCCACCGAGGTCGAAGACGGTGATGACCACTTTCCTGGTCGTCGACCTTCCCACTGCTTACAACGCCATACTCGGTCGGCCGACCCTCAACAAGGCCAGAGCCGTCGTCTCAACCTACTACCAAACCATGAAGTTCCCGACTCGTGCTGGAGTCGGAGAAGTTATGGGAAGCCCCCGAGAGTCCAGGCGGTGCTACCTGACCGCCGTTTCTTTGCACAAGAGGGCCAGGACCGAGCCACCACTGGAAGATCCGCGGGAAGCAAAAAAGCTGGCTCCTCATCCCGAGCTGAGGGGAGTCACAGCCGGGCACGCACGCCTCTCTTTTATGGATGCCTATTCAGGATACAACCAGATCAGGATGGCGCCCGAAGACAGAGAACATACGACCTTCCTCACCGATCAAGGGGTATACTTCTACAAGGTCATGTCATTCGGGCTGAAAAATGCTGGGGTCACATACCAAAGAACGGTGAACAAGATGTTCGCCCATCAGATCGGGAGGAACATGGAAGTGTACGTGGACGATATGATTGTGAAAAGCCAAGGGGCCGGAACGCACATTGCCGACCTAGCCGAGGCGTTCGCCACACTGCGCAAGTTCGGCATGCGACTCAACCCCACAAAGTGCGCTTTCGGCGTCACCTCCGGCAAATTCCTTGGGTTCATCGTACACGAAAGAGGAATTGACGCCAATCTTGAGAAGGTTCAGGCGATAATCAACATGCAGTCCCCCCGGACGATTAAAGACCTGCAACAACTTAACAGAAGGCTTGTCGCCCTGTCTCGCTTCCTTGCTCGATCGGGCGATCGCTGCCTCCCATTCTTCAAGGCGCTCAAAAACCCGAAGAACTTCCAATGGACGTCGGAATGCGAGGAGGCTTTCAAACAAGTAAAGCAGCACCTGACCAGCCTCCCCCGGCTCGCCTCTGTCTCTCCCAGCGAGAAGCTGGGCCTCTATTTGGCGGCCTCCCCGTATGCAGTCAGCTCTGTCCTGATCAAGGAAAGCTCCGGCCAACAACTCCCGGTCTACTACGTCAGCCACGTCCTGGGTGGACCCGAGGAGCGTTACCCGCCGATAGAAAAACTCGCGCTCACCCTGGTTCTCTCGGCTCGGAAGTTACGCCCCTACTTCCAGGCATACACGGTAGAGGTCATCACTGACCAACCTTTTCGGCAGGTCTTAACCAAATTTGATGTTGCAGGACGGCTACTCAAATGAGCGGTGGAGCTCGGCGAGCATGATATAAGATACGTGCCTAGGACCGCCATCAAGGCTCAGGCGGTAGCCGACTTCATCGCGGAGTTAACTCAGATGGAGGACAGAGATCTCGAGCAAACCCTCGAAGCTTGGACCCTACACGTGGACGGCTCGGCCAACTCAAGGGGTGCCGGCGCGGGACTGGTTCTCCTCGCCCCTAATGGACGCTCGT